CATTTTAAGGAGGGCATTTCGTCCAATCACTATTCCTCATTTGATACTGTTCAAAACACTATACATTTCCCTCCACATCATTGAATAATAATATTTTCTCTCCCCCCAATAACTGTTAGTCACTTTTTGCAGAAAGGAGATGGAGATGAATGTCTGTAGATGTGGGTTCCTTATGGAGATGAAGACTTCATGGACGAACTTGAACCTAGGAAAAAGTTTTATCAGCTGCCCACAATGTAAAGATGTTGGTGAATATAATTTCTTCGACTGGGTTGAGCCGCTAATGTGTGAGAGATCAAATGAGCTAATTCCTGAACTTCACGAGCTAGAAAGGAGATGGAACATGAAATAAACACCCTCCATTCAAGAGGTCGTACAGCAGGAAGGTCCAACCACAGGTTCTTCAATTTCTGGTGCATTATCAGCAAGAGGCACCACAGGTTCCCCATCACTTGAAAAAATCCTCCACCACATTTTCCTCACAAGTTGGTGCATTATCAGCCTTTTCAACTGCAAGTTCATCCTCTGTAGCCTCTACTTTAACTTCAATTGTAGGTTCATGTGGAGTATCACCAATAGTGGGTGTATTATCATCAAGATGCACTGCATGTTCAATTGTAGGTTCCTCAACTGTAGCCTTTACTTCAACATCTGCAAGTTTCTCAACCTCATCCACTATATAATTTGCAGGTTCCTCAGCTATAGCCTCTACTTCAACATCTGCAGGTTCCTCAACCTCATCCACTGTATAATCTGCAGGTTCCTCAACTGTTGCCTCCACTTCAACATCTTCTGGTTCATCTTCTACATGCTCCACATTTTCAAAAACTGCCACACCAAAATCAGTATCACCTTCAGGTTCACCCATTGCTACCTCTTGAGCTCCTGTCCCAACATGAGCATCTCCATCAGTATTATCATCAATGTACTCTTCCACTTCAACATAAGTCTCATGATCACCATTTGTGTCTTCTTGCATTTCATCTATTTCACATGCACTCTCAACCTCATCCATTGTATACACATCATTCTCCACAACAGTATATGGTGCCCAAATTGACCATCATCATCTACATTCCCTATTTCTTCTACTTTCTCCAAAACCTCACCTGTGTCAATCCACAACTAAAATATCATCTCTCACATTTTCATCCCATGGGAATTCCAGCACTTCGATCACAGGCAAACACCAAAACTCGGCAATCCTCTTATCCCCATGCAATCTCACTAAATTCATGAAGTCTGGATCCCTCACCAACCAGAAAGAAGCTTCACTAAATCTCTTATTTTCAACCTTATAGAGATACCTAATTTTTGGGGGGTATCCCAACATTTTCAAGGTATTGTCTGATAGAAATCTATTAAACCAATCCGGATTCACGTAGTCAAGATATGCTTACCTTACCATGCTCGTACACAAAATTGCGCATCTTGACGAATAATATACCACAACGATGTACCTTTATGGTAAAATAAGTAGATTTTTCTCCTATAATTCAAATTCAATCAAAGTGATCATCAAGCACAAAACTTAGTCTCACAGTACATGAATGCATAATGTGAACCCATAGTTATTGCACTTTTATAGTACATCCAAATATATAAAATAGTAAAAAAATGCAATATTGCAATGGAAGAAATCTCATCATGGCTCAGTGCGAAACAACGAGCCCGATTATTTTTTAAAAAAAATTAAAAGAAAGAAATACACACATAGACAAGAGTAGGAAGATGACCTCGTGTGTGAAAAGCAAAATCTTCAACATTAACATTAGATTCATGGCTTTCTTCACCAGACATTGTAGATGATAAACTTTTGTGTGTGTGTGTGTGTAACGTGAATATGTGAGTGAGAAAGGATTTGTTGCTTTTTAATTTTTAAATCAAATGAGGAATAGTGATTGGACAAAATTGCCCCTCCTTAAAATAGTCAATATACCTGATTTTTTAAATTTTCCAGGTCAACTGATAGTGTTTTGGACAGTTTTCGTCTAAAGGGACCCCAAATGCATATTTATGAAAAGTTAGGGACCTCGTCTGGCGCAAAATGAAGGTTAGGATAAAGTCTGTAAAAAATGAAAAGGTTAGGGACCCTGCTGTAATTTCCCCTAAATAATATGATTAAACGTCTCTTGTCACCACATTTTAATCATTTTATGCTCTTTCTCTTCTGTGACTTAATTTTTATATCAATAATAGTAATTATTAATAGCTGCCACAATATAAATACAAATAAAATCTAAATATCTACAGCTAAAACACACAAATTTAAAATTTATATTTTAGATCAAAATACAAGTTTAATATTTTTTAGTAGGAAAATGAAATGTCATATAATTGTGTGTATACCAAATAAAATGTTATATGAATCATATTTTCACTAAGTATGATTTTATCACTTAAAAATCAAATTCCTTGTTCGAGCTGATATATAACAAGAGGACATATGAAAAAAAAAGGGTTAAAGGTGAGAAGTATTTAGGGTATAGCTTATGGGCAACTCTTTGGAGACATTTCTACTCTATTGCCAGCCTCATGCTTCAAGAAATATAGACAATTATTAATCTTAATAATTAATGCAAACAGTAAAAAGGGTTGAAGATAAGTAAACTACTTGAAGGAAAATTATGATCTCTATTATAGCATAAACTTTTATTTATTTAAGTAATGAATAGTATGCTTAGCAATAAAAATGATTATCAATTCTATTAGTGGTGATTTACATCATTTTTACTCCAAAATAATCATTTCTTCTTACATAAATCTCTTTTCAATAAATTATGAACCAGATAAGCCATGTTTGACAACCATTATTTTAAAACTTTTTTTTTACATACTCATTTTTAACCATATATTCACAAAATAAAATATTTTGCATGTAAATTCAAAACTTTCCATATTTTTTAATCACATATTTTTCAAAAAGTCACTATTCAAATCTTCATTTTAACCAAATAATGGTTGTCAAACATGGGAAATATATTTTGTTCTGTATTATTAAATATTAGCTATGAATATATTTTCAATGCGACTGCAACAAAAGACCATTGCTATGTTGGTCCAAAATTTTCAAAATCGGACCTAACTAGTCGGTTCAATTTAGGGGTTTAAAATGGGATAAGCCGAGATCGGCTTGGTTTGTGCTCGCTCGTGGGATGAGCATGGTGCAAACCGGTTCACCTCAAGAAAGTTAGGCTCGGCTTACCCTTTGATGGGGAACTCAAACCGTTTCAGTCGAAACTTACATTTCATAGATAATATCATGCTCAAGTGATTCGCTGCTCGAATTGTGATCTTAGCTCACCCAACTTAACACCTAGTTCAATTAAAAAACTCGGGAACTAATCGAAAAATTTGTCTTGTTATACATAAAAAAATCGAAAAACAAAATTATTCAAAACAAGAAAAGAACAGGCAGTTGAGTTCACCATAAGATATTATTGTTTTAATATTTCTTACTATAGATTTGACTTTTGACCTTTTGCAAATTGTTGCTCTAATTGATTTTTAAAACATTGATCAATGTATGAATTTCTCACAACAGAGCAAAAAATTGCATGTACGGGAATGTCAAAGAAAAGTTTCTCAATATCTAAGGACTAAGGTGTAAAATTTTATGCGAGGAGACAGAAGATCTAAACTCGAAAAACAAAGCCCTACTGTGAATTAAGAATAAATGCGATGTACACTAGATTTGAAGTGGCCAACAAACACACATTTGCTGAAAATAAAAACAGACACCAAACAGCAACTAAGGTCCACAGCCAACATTAAAGAGATGAAATAAAATAGTTGGAACAGAAGAAATTAATGTAGAATTTGGGATACAGCTAAGTCAGATGAAGCTGTCCAATTTCTAGATTTCCTTTGCTAAATATGGCCCCACCTATTTATTTATGCATACTGAGCCAGAGACTTTTCAGACAAGAAAAATTGGTACATAACTAAAATTCGTCACGTAAATGCATTGACTACACAATTCTCTCTTCTCGAAAATCCATACATCTACACTAGATTAGTATCTGATGACGGGTTCAAATTTTTTCTTACTTTAATTGCTTAAATTAATAAAATTGTTGTTAGCTTAATATGTCATTTTGCCAGATGAATTTGACATTCTGGATGATAGATGAAGGTGTGACAACAAATAATTGGTACAAAAACCATATATATATATATATGGTTTAAATTAGCCAATGAGATGTGGCATTATATGAAGGTGACAAATCAGTATGGTAATGGAGAAAGGTTGAAAAAATATATATTGATGTATGACGAAAACATTAAACTTTCAAAAGCATAAAACAAACTACAGAATCATAGCATCGCAAATACGAATAATGTTATTTATTCCCATTGAAGTTGTAATTTAAGTCTAGGTGATTAATAATAAGTAAAATTAAATGATTAATAATAATAATAAGTAAAATTAAATGATTAATTTAAATCCATCTTTCATTTAGCTTATCTTCTAGCCCCACTGAAATTAGGGTTGGAACCCTAATGGCTACATAGGGCAAATACACAGCTTTCAATCCCACTTATAAAATCCATTAAAAGACAATTAATTCAAGAGTAATACACCTAGAAATTAACAAAAGGAAAGTCATCTTCAATTTAACATAATTCGTGTCAAAACAATAAAATTTTAGTTATTTTCTCCACCTTCAACATGTCCACTTCTGTTCAGTCGAGCATACTTAACATGTTACGTAAATAATGCCATTGTTCATATAAAAAACATCCCTGGTCCACAACTTAGAAAAGTTCATAATATTTCATATATAGAGCAAAATAAAGACTCGAGGAATGAACAAACTCCTCATACTTTCAAGCCCCTTGGACGGCTCTAAGAGCACGAGAAAACCCAAAGAACTCTGAAAAAAAACATACAAATCACTTCAAAAACAAGATTTTTTTAGAACACTTTGAAGAACAAAATAATTTGAAGACTTGCTAATACTAAGTACTAACAATAGTAATAATATTAGCTGCAAAATTTATGGGCATGCTATATTGAGGGGTGCTACTGCTGCCCCATTCATCAGGGGTGCTTCATCCATCAACGCGAAAGCTTCGTTGCAAAGCTCAAAGTCGAAGTCAAAATCGAAATTCGGTAATGCAATAGGCTGATCACCGTCCTCAAATCCACCAAGTAGAAGGTCGTCACAACCATTGATAAAGTCGTCCACTGGGAGCATGAATTCATCATTTGTAGGGATGGAATCGAGTTCCAAATCCATGTCCATTCCCTCTGCAATTTGTGCCAAGGATAAGATTTCCTCCTCCACCAGTCCCGAATCAGCCACTTTCTGCTCAACTTTAGCCTCCAAGAAAACTTCATTAGCCGTCTGGTCGATACTTTTGCAATTGATTCCCGAAGATGAGGTCATAGAATCCAACTCGATCACTGAAGATGGAGACGTGCGTGAAGTGAGTGAGACCACACTTCCAATAGATTCCTCCGGGAGGCACAAACCAGCATTGTTTTTATTCTGTTTCTGAGCAGTCTTAGAAGCCACCACTGAAAATCCAGTATTGTTATAAGAATCATTTAAACTTTTCCCAATTAAGTTCATGCTATTGGCCAGAGACTCGAATTCAAGACGTTTCATTTCATAAGCTCGGGATGCCTCTTCAGCAGAATTGAAAGTACCTAACCAAACTCTTCTGCCTTTAAACGGATCCCGTATTTCAGCAGCCCATTTGCCCCATTTTCGCTGTCGAACGCCTCTGTATTTTCCTAAATTGGGACGTGTCCAGGGCTTACTCTCAACTTTTGATAAAACCCCCTTCTTCCGGTTTCTCTCACCATTGTTGCTATCCTGAACAGAACTCTCTGTTTCAGGAATTTTAGATGAGCAATATGAGTCCTTCCTTGGAAAGTGAATTTCCTGAACAATTCGTTTAACTTTCTTCTCGTTGATTTCTTCATCATCTGATGAATCAGTAGCATCCGGGTCATTACAGATGATCCGGAGTTTCCTCATTCGTTTGGTGGGTTCTGCTATGTTTCTAGATTTTTTGCTTAAAGTTTCTTGATTTACTAGTGGTGGCATGTTTTAATCACTCCAAAAACCCTCAAAAAATACCTCAAAAATTATCTCCAAAGAAAAACCACAGAGAAAACGCTGAAAGATTTTAAAGGAGTATTAAGTAAGAGGGCCTCTCAAGAGCAAGAAAAGGTTTAATAATCTTTTTATATGAAATCCAAAACTCCCTACACCAGAAAAAGTCCTGCAAAACAAAACCCACAAATTATTTCAGATCCACCATTAAAACCTCCAAAATTCGCAAAAAACATCATCAATATTTACAGAAAATAAAGACTGGACATCATATGCATCTACAGAAAAACCCACAAAAGGGTTTTAAGGAAAAAATGTACAAGCAAAACTAAACCCAGAAAAATAGCACAAAATATATCAGATCAACCTGCAAATCCTCAAGAACAGACCAAATAAATCCAAAAATATAGGCAAAGCATCCTTTGACATATAAGTCCAGAAAAACCCACAAGGGTTTAAGGAAGAAGTTTCACCTTTTGGGCCTCAAACGCATCGAAACCAACGGAGAAAAAAGGTGGGTACTCTGCTGGAGTGCACAGCAGAGGGATTGTTGTACGCAGAGAGCAGAGTAAAAAGAAGAAATAACAGAAAAACAGAGCTTCGATGGAGCCCCAAAAACAACAGCCAAATCAGAACTTCTCGACATAAAATCACTTAAACACCAAACCCTTCTTCACACAAAAGCCCCCTTTCTTCTTCTCAACACTTGATAACGATAAACACAGAGAAAAAAGGAGAGAAAATCGGATCAAAACAGACCAATTAATAGATATATGTGAGTATAGAAGATTAGAAATAGATGGCTACTATTTTTCCCTTGTATATGAAATTGAGAATTCCAGAGTGACACCTCTCTCTCCTACTACTACTAGTGTTCTTGTTTTGCTGGGCATTTATGACATGAGTTGTATCAAAAATGGGAGCGTGGGAGGTTTTATAATGTGACTTTTTTTTATTTAGTACATATCATTTTTACAATTATTAATAAAAATGAATTAATTCGATTACTGAAAGATGTACACTGAACTGCTCGATGCGTACACCTAAATAGTGAGTGGGATGAGAGATTGGAAACTATGAATTTTCTTTTCTTCTTTTGGTAAAGACAACAATTAACGAGTTGAGATCTGCTACTCAAATTTTTGCTATCCAACTTGCTGTAACCAAATTAATTATTAATACATCATTTTTAAATTAACATGTCATCTCAAATTTATCCACATTAACTTCTCTACTAACTCACCAAATTGATGACATGTTAATTTAAAATGATATATCAATCATTAATTAGATGAATAATAAGTTGAAAAGTCAAAATTGAACAACAGATCACAATTCACAGTTTCTGACCTTTATCCTAATGCAAATCTCAAGAGAAGATAAAATATCGAAGAAATTAATAATACGCGTGGTCGTGGGGTGTGTTCACCTGTTTTTGTCGAGTGCCTTGTTTTTCTTTGCAGCTCTTTTTCATTTCCTACAAGTCATTTTCTCACTTTGTAAATAACACTTAAAAGTTACAGTTGGGATTTAATGGAGTTTTCAATGAAAATAACTCTCTTTCCAACCTTTCAATATCATGAAAGTGTGAAATTATTCTATAAAATGAATTTGTGTTGATAAGAAGATAGAAAAAAATGAATTATAATTTTAATTATGATCAAACAGGGCTTATTCTTATCAATTTTTCAATTATATATTTTATTAATTTTTATTAAGTCGTTGTTTGAGACCCATTAAAATTTAGAAAAACTCATTTTTAAATCAAATTATGTGGTCTCGCATATGGTGAAATGGTTGAAAAAGTCAGGAAAATGCAATTTTGAATTGACTTTTACCCATAGTATATTTTTAGGTTCCTTTTACATTCAGCTTTTATCCCCAAAAATAGAATGTTTAAAGGCATTTGGGGGAGAATGAATTGTAGGCTATATTAGTAATTTCAACTCAAAAGTTCAGGATAGAATAGGTAAAAAGAAAATTCAACAAGTATATGTTTGAATCAGGAATTCTACCAAATATCCTTTTTGGTGGGAATGTTTTATGATAAAGTACTTTAGAAAAATTTGCAATCTAATTTTAATGACAATCAAACGAAGGCTAAAATCTACTAAGAATTTAGTTTTAACTAAATCAAACATGTGCTTAAACTGTTCGACCTTTAATGTTTGCATGATGATTCTCTAATGAAAATGAAAAGGAAAATCAAGCAAGATTCTGTTAGTAGCAGTGAGCAAGAGTGTATTGATGATATGAAGAAACATAGCATAAAAATGCAATGAATGTATATGTATCCCCTGTTTGGTGCAGCTAAAAAATATATTTTTATGACTTTTGATAAAAATTGATGAAATGTATAATTAAAATATATGATTAAAATCTTTGACTTAAATTTTAGCAACTTTTAAGTTACACCAGTCGAAGCATAATTGTTGAATGTATACGTTAATAAATCTGAGTTAATAATCTTTATCTTGGGGATTGGACGAGTGTAACATAGCCTTTTGTTCTTCAAAACACAATTAATTACAAATAAAACACAATTAATTACAATTTTAATAAAATAATTTTTAGATAAATCAATTTCCCGTAAAATATTTTCTTCCACCATATTTTTCACATTTACAATTAAACGGACCGTTTAGAACAAGAATATTGAAAAAGGCATATTTAGACCAAAAGATCAAAGAATATTTCAGCACCATGCAACTATCTAAAAGGACCTATTATTCTTGTAGGCCATAATTCCAATAAATATTCTAGACTTCTAGTTGGGCATAATAGGACGGTATCAAAATGTTACAAGCACAAGATTTTAATATTTTATTATACATCTATTGTCTATTCTAGTGTATTTGTCTGCATGGAGAAAGTCAACTTTAGGGATGTCAGTTGCTGGGCATGAGGCACCTTCACATCCATGGAAATTTGTGCTGAGAATTATTAGTCTAAGCCTTTATTTAGCCTCTACTTGACGATTATTATTTGATAAAAATAAAGTTTTGAATAGTAATTTTTAAAAGAATATATTGTTAAAAGATAAAAATAGAAATTTTTTTTGGATTTAACTATAAAATATTTTATTATGTAAATGCATGATTGAAAATAACTACGTGGAAAAAAGAGTTTGAAAATAATGATTGTCAAACAATGGCCTAGTAATTTAATAATAATAATAAGGGATAATTGCAACAAAAAATTCAAACCTTTGAAATACAGGCAGACTTTCCCCAAATTTTTGATTTATTGCAGTCATCACCTCTAACTTTTCTAAACGTTACAAATAAAGCCCTTCGGATAGTTTTCATCCACAATTCCGTCAATTGACTAAAAATTCAACTTTGACCATATTTTTAATATTTTAAAAGGGGACAAAAGAGTAACCTTATATTTATCACATTAAATAATTAAACTTAAAAAAAACACGGTCCGGTAGCGATCCATCAGGATGATATTTAAAAAAAAAAAACACAATCATTTCTGGTGTGTTCATCTTCTCATCCCCGCGCCCACCCCCACCCATTCTCCCACCTCAAACCCAAAATCATTTCTGGTGTGTTCATCAACACGGTCTGGTAGCGATCCATCAGGATGATATTTTCTTGCCATTTGTTTATAAGTTTTCTTTATATCAGAAATAGTTCCACGCTTTTCAATTTCCAACATGTCATACAAACTGTTTGTGCTTTGTGTTGGAGAATAAAATGCCTCAAAATTGGACCTGGAATGGGATCTTCGACTTATCCCAGATGGATTTTTGAATTGAATTCTAGAATTTGTAAGCTGTGAATGAAAGGAAATGCTTGAAAAACTTTATGTAATGGATTTTTTTGTGGGTTTTGAGCATAAATGAAAGGGGGTTTTGGAACCTGAAACCACTGCACAACTCATTCTTGGTTTGAGGTGGGGGGAAGGGGTGGTGAGCGTGGGGATGAGAAGAAGAAGAAAACTTTGTATGCGTGTATTTTTTTAAATTTAATTAGTCGAATTATTTAATGTGATAAATATAAAGTTACTCTTTTGTCCATTTTAAAAATATAATCAAAGTTAAAATTTTCAGTCGACGAAATTGTGGATGGAAACTGCCCAGAAAGACATCAACTACAACATTTGAAAATGTTAGGGGTGACAGCTACAGCAAATCAAAGATTTGGAAAAAGTCTGCTAGTGTTTCAAAAGTTCAGAATTTTTGCTACAATTATCCTTAATAATAATAATAATAAACAGATCTTACGAAATGTGTGAATAATAATGAATAATAATTATGAATGTATAAATTAAATTGATATTTGACATTGATGGAATTTTATGAACTATCTATAAATTTATTTGCCAAACATAGGATAAATTATAGTACAATTTTCATGGCGGATTTGGGCAAAATGTCCAAGGGCCTGTTTGGTACAGATTCTCATTTTCTATAGTAAATCAATTCTCATTTTCAACCACACATTTTTCAATAAAATAATATTTTCCATCACATCAATACTTTTTTCTTCTTTTTCAACCACACATTTCCCATCATATCACTATTCANAACATAGGATAAATTATAGTGCAATTTTCATGGCGGATTTGGGCAAAATGTCCAAGTGAAGCTGGGATTTTCTGGTTAGTTGAGAAATTGAAGTGGGTGGTCTATGTCCTAAACGCTTCTCGTCTCATTTTTTATACCCTTAAACATTTATACGAAATTAAGTTTAAGAAATTAAATAATATTATTTAACATTTAAAAAGCAATAAAGTTATCATATGCTTAAACCTTAGATTTCTTTTTCGTTAATTTTTGTAGTATAATTTAAATCAAATTTGATTTGTTCATTTTCTTAAATAGGAAATTATTTTTTACTAAAATAGGATTACGATGAAACCACCACGTGCCAAATGATAATAAAAAGAAGCGATTTAAAATTAAATAAGTTGTATTGTTTGAATAAAAATTAACTTTTTATTCTTCGGAAGAAATCGAAGATTTTTTTGGGAATCCTACA